GAAAATCCGACGCGGTTCGGCTGGGGAGGCACTTTTCACTTTATCTATCAAATGTTGTAAATTAGTGAACATGACGAAGGGAAGTAGTGAAAGTACAAAATGTCTCCTCAACCCCCTTACCCTCCACAAGCCCATTGGAGCCTAAATCTATCAGGATTGCGCACGAGCTGAAGAGGATTCCAGAATTTTGCTGAAACGTCTTTGCAACAACATTTTTGGCCCTGCGCATTCACTGGCAAAAGCCCAAAGCCAAAAATTCACTTTGCTGTTTCACTCACCAAAGTGAATCTTTGGCTTTGGCTCCCCTAAGAAAGTCCAAAAATCTCACCCCTCCCCCCCCCAAGCAAACCAGTACAAGTATCAAGACTCACGTCTTGAAGGCTATCTGGAAATTCTTGGCAAAGAGCACTTCTCTTTGCCCCGAGGGTAACTCTGAACCCATTGCACCAGAGCCCGTTCAGCCGTTTTCCAGGGAACGTCTGGGAGGAATTTTCACAAAACACGACCCGCCCCCCATTTCCTTTCCTAAAATTTCTGCCTCTGATACGACTCCCCCCATTCTGCCAGCCCTTTTCCTAGATTTTCGCAGTTTCCTACCTAGATTTCTGGAATTTTTTTCCCCAAAAATTTTCCCGTTTTCCCGAAGAAATCTGCGACCAAGCCGTCTTCAGAATCGGGTGGGTGTATAGCGCACTTCAAAACCGACAATAGTCAACGACCGAGGACATTTTTCTCGAAGGTAAATATGACCCTCCCCCTCACATATGTCTGTGACCCGGTCAAATACGATTCCCTCGCTGGAGACTCCCAACGTACAACGAACTCTGATGACAGCCCCTTAAAAGTGCACACCTTCCTGATAGACCAAAATAGTTGTGCCTTATTGGGACGGCGTTGGAGCTTTCCCTTTGGCGAAAAACCAGTCGACGTGTCCCCCGTGATTGTTGCCGTTGTCTACTAGTGATACCATACACACCCCTACACACGCGACTGACGTCATTACTGTTGATAAACTGTTTCATGCGATTAAAATCAGAATCAATGATAACAGAACTCTATATACGACCCACAACTCGTCGCCAAAATTACGATAACGGGCACGTGATGTGTAGGACGGATTCCGTACTTATCACTGTACTCACAAGTAAACAATAGTGATTAGTTAACGCCTATCTGAATGAAAGGTATGTAGCTATAGTCAGCATTTTTCATCACAAACTACAAGTCAGACCACCCAGAACGATGATGGACCCACCACATGTAAGACCAGACATCTGGGAGCCGGATCACCATTTCCGCACCACTACCTCGGCCAGACGTACACGTTATTACGGCACTATTCGGCTGGGAAGGGGCATTTTGATTTTTTGCCAATTCATGTTAACAGACAGGTCTCATTTTGGTAAATTTGTGAACTCTTTGAAGTTGCAGAATACTGCAATTCAGCCACTTTGGTAACAGCAGAGAGGTTATCTAAGTAAGCCTCGCTGAACACCACTTGATGCCCTACTCAGCCCAAATGCGCCCGTGCCTTTTTTACTCTCTCAGAACGTCGCATATGGCGAGGAAGGTAGCCCAGAAGAAGTCAGCCATAAATGTCCAAACCTTCAAGAAAACGCGCTATATGCCGTGCTATATGCCGACATTCGCGATACAACCCGTCCACTTCTGCCGAATTTCGAGCGAACTGAAAGACAAGACGGCGCAGTTTGGCAAGGGGTTTCGCACCTGCGCTACTAGAAGTACGAAGTTGAGAGGTCGTCTCCACAAACCTTGAGTGGTGTCACTTCACAAGCTTTCCCAGATCTCTATTTTAACTCGACACGTTGAAAATGTAGAATGCCCCCCCCAAGCCGGGCTGCGCCAACAAGGCTACAGAAAGAAAGGATACATAAACTCTCATCCTTTCCTGCTAGACAAACTAGTGATTACTGAGTGGAGAGACCTTCCAGGATTCCACACCTCGTTACACCTCTTCTGGCTCGGAAAGCTCTTGAAACCAACGATGACCCCCCCCCCTCAGACGAACAAAATTACAATTATGACTCTGTTTGTTGCAGCACTGTGTACTTTTCGTTGCGACCAACGATAAAGCTCCCATGGGCGGTCGTTTTTTCTATCAGGACAGAGTGAAAGCTTTTCAGTCTAAGCAAGCAGTCAGTCGCTCAACCAGACAAACATCAAAAAACCATGCCATGAGATAAAATGGATGGGTTTGGCAACCTTTCTCTTGCTCATTGCAATGAATAGCTTAAAATATCGATAAAAAACTGAATTAGAAAATATCAGAACGGATAAATGCTATGACTGGTGGGTGAGGAGGCCTCTCTGGTTCAAGTGGGCAAAGGGGTGTTCAAACAACTCATCATGAAGCTCAGATTGATGAAGGAAAAGATACCTAGATCTTCTGTTTAGGCTCCAGGAGGGAAGGGGACTTCGGGATGGGCAGGGCACGTCTCCGCTCTGAGGCTAATTTGCGGCAACTCCGGTCGTCTGCGCCTAACCATAAGCCCTTGATTGGGAGAAGGGACTAGGGCGTGTCCTTCCTTACGATAAAGTATTTGCAAAATACAACCAATGCTCAAAATTTCCTCCTCTGGTGGCTGGTACATTCCACCGCTTACCCACCCTACAATCAAGAGTTTTTTCTCCGAAAACCACGAATCTCCACTTTCCCCCAACAAAAAAAAACTGCTGCCAAGCGTAGGAGGGACGGGGTATATAATGCGCTTGAAACAGGAAAAACCGAGAAAGCAACACAACACAAAAAATTTCTTCCAAAGACAAATCGTTCGTTGTGGATCGCTGGAGGAGCTCCTCGCTAGTGATTCCCAACGTACGACGTGCCTGGGAAGTGAGAGAATCAGTTTCTTTGGGCGAAAAATGTATGTTTTACCCTACATATCAACACGATTTTGGTATATTTCCAACGAGCGTCCTCTACACCGTTGCCAGTTGCGGGAGAACTTTAGGCGTAGAGCAGATTGCACTTCAACCCAGGGGCGATGATATGACATACACGTGATAGTTGTACTTGCTGAGTAAGGCAGAACATCTGCACCAGTTTTCGCCCCATCGAACGTACCCTATGTCTGTGCACGCTACTTGTCGTCGGCTGCCATCCGCTTGTTTGCCTACGCCGTTGCCGCCGCCGCTGTGGTGCTCGTTTTTTGCTCGCTTACATACACTACACCATACACACGCAAAAGTGCATTGAATGACGTACGGCGACACCGCGGACCGACAACGCTGGCCGCCTGCCGGATTCGATGGCCAACGTCGGTGGCAAATGAGGCGTGAAGGCTTCCGTAAACTTTTCACAGTTCAGGACATGCAATCAGTCATTACCAACCTTGGCTCATCACAACGCCAGTGGACAAATGCACACCTATAAACGCTTAAAGACATACCCTGCGCTCGGCAATCCCTCAGGAGGCGGGCACGCATGTCGCTACGGAAAATTTCGGAAAATAGTTGCGACCCCTTCGAATTTCGACCTCTGCTCACGAACCCCCCCCCTTTCCCCATCCGCCAACTTTTTCCCAGCCTCCTCCTAGCAACATCCACATCCCCTAAATTTTCCAAAAAGTCTTCAGTTTTACAAATGGTTTTGCGAGGGGGTAGGTATAGCACCAACAAAACGGGAAAAAATATGAAAAACCAACTTTCCGAATGAATTTATAAAGCAACTACAATCCTACTCCCGATGTGAGTCGCGCTCGTGAAACGAGAAAACAACTATCAAAAAAACTTCCTCTGATCAGATGCCACCCCGTCCAGCGACCAAATACGCCCCCTTAAGGATTCCCCACCGAAGGAAGTGCCTTGCGTAAGAGTCCTTCATTGTAAGTAGTCTGGCCCACAGTCTTACGATTGCCCTACTTTTGCGGCTTCTCAGTAAGTGACGAAGGCGCTGCCTTCCTCATAAGTGGCAGTTCTGACACCTTCCTGGTTGTCCTGCCCCTCCCCACAAAGGCTGATTCCAGTCACGAGTTCAGTTTTTACACAATGGTTTCCGTTTTTTTTAATTGTTCGATGGTATTAGCATTGAATGAATGGGAAAAAACGGTTAGTGAGCCTCAGGCGGCAGGATATCGCTCTACTGGCATAAAACGAGCAGTCCCGGGGTCCAGAGTGACCGCCAGAGGCCACTTAAGGCGTCGCCGTGATTTTTCTCACTTGCAGAGTCACTTAGTAACTTGGGTTCCTCATTGAACGTCACTAAGCACAACATGCAATCGTAGCGTTCGTCTTTAATAATGCTTCTGTGTAACTGTTCTGAACAATACTGGTAAACGTAGCGATCGTTCAATCGATAACGGCTGAAATCATCGCTGCCGCAATGTTTTGTTTATCTGCCGCATCGATCGTCGTGTAAACAAACGTCGACAAACGACGACGGGGCCGGCCTCGTGGCGGTCTGACAATTGCAAGAGAAAAAAGGGCACCCGGAGTACGACGAGTGGCATGAATCGGTACTCATCAATAACATAATTAGAATGAATGGATGAATGAAAGAAATAAGAGAACATGAGCGAAAATCACAAGCAGCATAAAAACACACGGCATGGCTTTGTTCAAATGAGCACTGAACAAATGAAAGACCAAACGCCATTTGATGGGAGTAAACATAAAGCGGTTTGAAGATAACAATAAATGCTGGCATATCTGAGGAACAAAGAAAATAAGGGGTAAGGATTTGGAAAAGGAAAGAAAGAGGAAAAGTGAAAATAGCAAAGTGGCGATCATACGTACCTGAACCGGTTGCGTTTGCGTTGACGAGAGCGACGATATCGTCGTGAACGAAGGAGCCTCCTGCTTTGGCGATCGCATCGGTGATGGGTGCTGTTCAGCCTAAACACCTGACTGTTAATAAATATAAACTATTTCAGAAGAAAAAAGTCCGAAACGGTTTTCAGAGGCCCCCGTGGTTTCGCAGTTCTCTGTCGCAGCCTTTATGAAATGTAATGTCGTTTTTGAGCGGAAATCTGCTGAACGCTGAAGTGACGCTCAGCAACTATGGTGCAGTTCGGCTTGGTGGGGGCATTCAGCGAAGACCTGTGAATTTTGTAACCAAACTGTCCCACTCGTACTCCTTCCTCAGCTTTATGCAAGTTCAGATGTCACGTCAAAGTGATCCGCTGGTTGACATACTATCAAAAAGAACTAATAAAGTGCAAAATACCCCTCCCAAGCCGACAGCGTCCAACTGTTTATCATTTCTTTAGCGGCGTTGAAACATCCATCGTTCGAACGCTGAATTTCATTGAGAGACGGACACTGAGATAGCAATGAATAGCATCCGAAAAATGGCTTCACAACTGGATGACTCAGCGATCTTTGCAAATGTCGGTTTCGAAAGGTTGCCTCCAAAAAGGAGTTGCAGAAAAACGCTGCAATGAAATCCTACCGCTGCACATGAAAATTGGCTCTTGAAGTTATAGGGTCCAGGGTAGGAAGATAGTAAATCAGAAGAAAATCGAAGAAAAAGTAGAAGGTTTTACTCTGACAGATACATATAGGAGTAAAGAGCAGGACGTAAGAGGAGATTGACCCCAATAACTTTTAAGACATCCTGGTAGCAGACAAAAATGAGATTTCACACCAACAGGATAGCAGTGTGCACCCTTTTTCTCACATTAAGCTCGCTCCATGGAACTATGCAGTTCGATCTCCGATGTACGGCTTCACACCACCATGAGTATTCGGCTTTGGCTCCGGACCTATCTGTTCCAGATAGGTCTGGAGCCAAAGCCGAATATCATGGTTACAAACCTACGGCACCCCCCTCCCATCCCACTTCCAGCACCTGACAGCATTCCCTACAGTATTCCATAGTACAACAGCGACAGAAAAACTCATGCAGGTGATAATATGAGCTGAGAGAATGAGAAATGACTATCTCGTCAGAGTTTGCAAATGATTAAAAAGCAATTAGCTCCCTGCTGAGATAATTACCATACCGCATTAATAAGTTCAAACATGTTGGGACATGAGAAAGTTGTTACAAAACAAGTTATGGGGTGGGGGGGGGGTAACCTTGGGGCATGAATACAGGCGGTGTTAAGTACCTCAAAATGAGATCAAATCAGCAACATAAGACTGAAGGGAAGGGAG